AATATAAACCCTATTTAATTCCTTATATTAAATAGGGGAACTTGTCGGTCAATACATTGGTTTCGCAGACCAAACGGATGTCATAACTTTCTTTAGTTTATTTGATCGAGCCTCACTCTCAATTCTTGCGTTCATCCTTCGGGATAGATACATGATTTGAGATAAAGAGCTCTTTCATCTAAACTATGAAAATTATGGGGTCAGTTTGACTTCATCTTTTTCAAAAATTAAAATTTTTTAAACGTCCTTCCGAAGCGGGCAACGGGATTTCAATTCCGATGACCGACAGCTTCTTACGGGCAAACCCCACACCAAAAATAGTGCCGACAACATTAAAATCAATTGTGATATACGACTTCGACATGAGGGTAGTTGAACTATTAGTTTAAGCACAGGATCTGAATAAAATATAGGTATTTTATTCAAGATTTTGCCACCAATTAAAGGGGACTTCAATTTTTCGGGGACGTCATAAATATAGGCGGAAGCTATCCTTGTGGAATTCCAAATCTTCCTGGGACCTAGGCTTAGGCTTGAGAAGAACATAATATTCCTGGTTGACAACAACCACGAAAAAGGAATTTGTATGAAAATCAAGCCAAGTGCAACTCCTAAATCATAGAGGCAATATCATCATCGATCTTAGAAGAATACCAAAGGACTTTGATCTACGTTTTTTTGTCTTGTTTTCTTCAGAATTTGTTCGACTTAGTATATTCTTGAATTATTTTTGGATCTCGCCGAACTAGGTTGGATTAGTTAGTACACTGTAGCTTTTACTTCTTTCAAATCGATTTCTTAACAAGTTTCCTCATGGGAATGATACGCGGTACTCCTTTTAAACCACATATTACTTAGACACGAATACTTGCGTAAAGTGGCCACCCGTTCGGAATGCTTTTGCAGCCATCACTAGACAAGATCGAGAACTCTTTCGCTCGATTCGTCAGGATCTGTCTAGGATATCAGGTACACGAGCTGCTTGTTGTATGGAGAAAATTGGAGAGGATGGAGGAGAAGATGACTACTCTTTGCTAGGAACTGTCGGATGTTCGGGAGAGATCCTTCATTTTACAGGCTCAAGTTGAGATGGATTAGGTGAACCAATTTAATTTTGGGAGAGAAATTTTGTATAATTGGCTACTTCGACAGGGGTATGTCTTAGCTAAAGCGATGACTGACCCCCTTATAAAATATTTTCTCTCGTGCTAGTTCTCGAGCATTTTTTAGTGATTTGTAATGTCTATTTTTGGAATAAAATTTATTTTTTGATCTTGATACTTGTGCTGATGTGATATTTTTATCAGCGTGTTTTCTTAATTATTGTATAGTTCCATTTTTATCAATATGTGATAATTTCACTTTTTTATGTTTCCCAATATATATAAGGGTGAAGGGTTTGATGATGCTACTCTTTAACTCTTTTTCCTCCACATTTTTTGTTCTCTCAGCTTTTTCCTTTTACGCTCTACTCGATGGCTTCGAAGTATTCTCCAAAGGCCATCTGGTCGCTCGTGTCAAACGACCGATCGTCGATGACATGAGGAGAAGTGGATCTATTGTTGGAGATCCGTGGCTTAAATACCACCATGAAGCTTCAGATCGCTGGCGAGAATGACCGAGCGACACTCCATTTGGCGCCAACCTCATCTTCTACAAAGATCAATTCTGCTTTAGCCTGAGTCTGCCCTTTTAGTGGGAGTTGCATGCCATATTTAATCATTACAGGGTTATTTCGACCCAGGCACTATCAAATTTCATACTTGCAATTATGTCTTTCATCATTTCTATCATATGCCGGAAATTCTTTGGCCGATGGAGCTCTTCAATTATCTATTTGCTTTTCGGGTTGGCCCAGACGATTATATTCAGTTTGCCTCTATCGGCAGGTTCTAGCTGATAGGGCTGCAAAATAAAGTGAAAGACTAAAAACTTTATTTTTGCCTTGGTTCTTCTCCCCGGAGATGGTACATCAAGTTCGTTCCATCTGGCGGTGCCGATGCCAAGATGACGAAGAAAGTGTCGAACTGGGTATTGGTGAAAGCTAGGGGCATCAAAGGGCATCAACTTTTGGTCCACCAACGCCTTGACCCAACAACTATCAATCGGGTGTTACAACTAGATGATTTTGGACAAATGACAGAGGAGTAGGAGACCTCTATAGTTTATTCAAAGTCTGATGCTTCTATTATTTTTAAGGGATTGCCATTGGCAAGCTATTCTTTGTTGAGAGGAAAAATGCTATGGCATCCACTAAAAGTTTTTTATGTTTCATGTCCCTTGGACACATCACTAACGGGCCGAGAGTAAATCTAAATTTGAGCCTGAGATCTTCAGTTGAAAGGAGTCACGTCATAAGGGGAAGGCACCCACTATCAATTAGAGTGACTCGCCTCTTCCCCCCTCTTTGAAGAAATGAAAGGCATCGACGCTCAGGTGGTTTGCTATGCAAGAAGAGGAGGCAAAGGTGAGCACCAACACAGATGAAAACCTTACTCTTATATATCTGAAGAAGGATTGGTACCCTGACTCCCTAGCGACGGCCGACTACCGTCTGACTCTCACTGATGTTGTTAGGTCTCCTTCATACGAAGAGGTCCTTTTAGGACATAGCCTTTCAGGCCTATGTTGAACGACCGACAAGTGTCAACTGATGGTCTGGAAGGCTTCACGCATCCAAAAAATCTTTCTCACTCAAGAACCCTGAGAATGGATGGAGATCAAGCTAAAGTTGGAAGCAGTCGAGGAGAGGGAAAAGGCGGCTGAATAAAGGGTGAAAGCAGTCCAAGTCGAGACACTCAGATGGTTGGAGTTGCCTTCAACTATGAAGGAGAAGATGGCGATGATTAAGACATTGAATGAGTTTTTTACGAAGCTCTCCCCCCATCCAAGTTATGTGTTTCTTCTTGCTGCGAAACTCAAGAAAGGGGTTTGTATTGATATTAATCGCTTGTTGTAGGCATTGTTGGTATCCCCAGACCGGGCCAATAGGGAGAAGTTGCCACTCTGCTTTTAGAGTCTGTGGGGGAGGAAGAAGAGAGTGGTGAAGATGATGTAACTTAAGAAAATTTGTTCTTTTTTTCTTTTTGAGGACTTGTACATAAATGTTAGAAAATCTTTGTAAATTTTTAATCATGATTGAACAAAATTTTTAGTTGCTTTTTACCTTTGTTATCTCCGTACAAGTACTGCGTATTTTATTTTTCTTGAGATGTGTGCATAAAAACAAACATATCAGAAATTCTATAAATAGATATGTGAGCTTGCTGTTTTATATATTTTCTTTTCTTCCTTGAGTTGGAGTAGAGTAAGCCAATGATAACTGGTGGCTCAAAGGCCTTTGAGTCAAACATCATGCTTGCTCTCCCGATGCAAGATTCCACCGTTAATGATTCAGCTCTAAGGGGGGTTTTGTCGGTTCCAGAGTTTGTCGTTGTGTCATTGTCTTTGGAGTATGACAGGGTGGATGAGGAGATCCTATTGCCAATTGACCAGATCGTTGTGAATAATCTGCTGAAATATGTCTATGACTTGCAATTGTTGATGGGACCATCTCCTATTCACCGCTTGACTCTCTCAGAGGGTGAAGCTAACTCGATATCTAATTTGGCCACCACTCATAGGGAGTTTACGAGGAATAGAGAAACCTTCTCATTTATTGCCGAAAGATTGGAGTTTGGAGATACCTCAACGCGGGCGAAAGCGTTAGAGATGCGAGAACAAATCACATATTTGAAGGAAGATGTGGCAGAGCTAAAGGACCATATTGTTACATTGAAAGAGCAATTGGAGGCTGGTGTGGATGTGTTGCTTGGAATGCATCGTGGCCAGAATGAAGTCTAAGCCAGTCTACCTTAGGTTCAACAATGACCGAAACATCTTGGTGACCAATCATTCATTTTCTAATGGGAGATTTGTCTTGAGCAAGCTTCTCCAGTTTGGTTGTATTTCTACATATGATATTAGAAAGAACAACCTCGATCTTTTTTATGACGGTTCATAATTTTTATATATTATATTCTTATTCTATTTTTTACTTTTTTTTGTCGCTCTTTCTTTGTAAGTTTAACTCGATTTATGCAAACAATGATAGCATTTTCTTTATGTGCTTGCCATAACTTCGAGTTTAGAAGTGAACTTTGGTTCTATGAATCAAACTCTTATTACTTTGAAGGAAATAATAATAAAAAAACGGCTTGGCTGCTTAGGATAAGGTAATTGAATTGAATAACATGATCATGCAAATTTTGAAAGCGCTTATTAGACGATTTAAATTTGAATTTGAAGAGTATTATTTTCTTAAATATTATTGTTAAAAAATAAAATTGAGTCCTTACAATTTTTTAATTATTAGTTATAAGTTAGGGTGTAACGATTTGATTTGAAGCTATTTTTGACTTGATCTTGAACTTCATTGGTCAATCAAGTTGAGATATTGTTTCGATTTTATTAAGTTGGAGTCGATTCGTTTATTATTAAAAAAAAAAAAAAGAAAATGATTTATGTTTAAGCAACCATTGTGATACATAGAGAAAACGAGAAATGATAATAAATCATTAATTTTGAGAAAATAAAATATCAAAAATAAGTATTTTTAAAGATATACGTTTAAACATTTAAATATTTAATATATTTAAACGTAATAAATATTATAATTTTTTTTCAGAAAAAAAATTAATTTAAATAAGATTCTCGTTTCCTTCTTCAAATCCCGGTCTTTGTATCGCCGCGAATTCAAATTTCTTGTTAGGTTTTGCTTGTTTGTTTCCATGAATTCTCTTAAGAAAGCTGCAGTGCTTTATCATTATCCTTGTCCGGATGGAGCGTTTGCTGCTTTAGCGGCTCATCTCTACTTCTCCGCCGCTTCGTTGCCCGTCGTCTTCTTCCCCAACCCTGTTTACGACCCCGTCAGGTATTTGTCTATCTTCAGCTAATGCTTGAAGAATCCGAACTTAGATACCTAATTTGGGCTATTGAGCACTTATCGCAAGGCTCAGCAGATGCAAGTTAGGGTTTTTTTGGTTCATTGTTATTTGATTATCGTAGTGTCGTAGTGTTCTTGCAATAGAAGGTTTTTTTTTTTTGTGATTTATTACTGAAAAAATCCACTTGATATAACTCTTAGGTTCAAATCATGATCATCCAAGCTCCAAATTCAACAAATTTATTGTAAAATTGAACATCTGATCAATACCAATGTAGTGAAAAGAAATGTGATCACCAAACGTAATTTGTTTGAGTCCAAATGAGCCTTATTGTGAGTTTGAACCTAAGAGTTTGCCGGAAGTGAAAGCTGTCAGGTGAGGTGAAGCTCACAAAAATAACACTTCTCCGTTAAACCCACCATTTGAAATAACTTGAAGGTAGCGATGAGATCATGGAGGAGATATGGGGTTGCTGTTTGCGTGGGGGAGTGGATGTGAGGGATCCGGCGTGAGGACTCGTGAGGGTTTGTTGTGCTCGGTGCATGAGATGGAGCTCTACACACTGGTTCAGTAGGGGCGAGCTAGCAGGGGTTGCCAGTGCAGATCTTGCTCACCGGAGCGGAAGGATGGTGCGACGGGTTCTGAGGCTAACAGGAGCTGGGCTTGTGGGGAGCTCCCAGACTGTGGGTGCAAAGCTCACAAGTAGACGATGTGGCCAGCTTCCAGGCAAATGAGTGAGGTAGATGATGGGACAAACAGGTGGAGAGATGATGAGGTTAGGATTTTAATGGCGGGGTGTTAATTCTGCTTTTATTTGGTTGTTCTGAGTGTGAAGGACGTATATATAAAAATTTGAGTGTATAATATGTAATATTAGTAGTTTTGAGTGCTATGTATGCAAACCCCCCCAATATTATACGATCAAATAAAAACTACTATTATTACCGAAAAGTTTTCTAGCCCACAATATATCTTAATTTCTTTTTCTGGGTGACACTAATTCAAGAAAAGTACTATCAAGTATGTATATAAAATCAAAATCAATCGATTGCATGATCAAAATTGGGATTCTATTTGTATCGTGCTTTCATAATTTGCATTCATAATTTTTTTAAATATTGATCAACCTCGCATCCATATTTTGAAATTTCAATTTCAGCATCCCTTTACACCTTCACAGATGTATATATCTTGGGTGTAAGCCCTTTACTATGCAGGTTCTACCTGACTGACCTCATCTTTAGTTTTGATTATGGCTTGCTAGCATTTTGGCTGCTGGTTATGCAGCTTAGTGTTTCTATGTCATGATACTATTGCATGCATGGAGAGATTGATAACAACTGCTTTTTCTTTTTTTGAGCGTTGTTAGAAATGGATAAAATGAGCTTGAAACAAGACTTTACAGTTAGTTATTGGTTCTTGGAATAAAAATTAATTTATCATATGTTTAATTATATAGACAACAATCATTTATAAGAAGTTAGTTTCGTTGGAGTCACTGAAGCTACGGATGTTTGTCTTTTGTCTATAAATTTTGAGAGTTGCTGTATCTTTTGATAATTATATCTATATTTATTAGAATTTTTTTAGTTAAATCCGGTTTATTTAGGAGAGATTTCCTATTCCGAAGGTACCTGAATATGGCTTGGAAGTTGCACCTTTTCAAAACTTATTACATACCCATTAAGTAACATAAATTCCAAGTAGCTATTTAGTTGTGACATTTTTATCATTTAATCTTATTATTTGCTTGCCTTGTGTAGAAACGTATCAAAATGATGCAGGAAAGCGAACTGTTTTGTGACATCAAACAAAGATAATAAATGCATTGATACTCTTTATTTGACAAACATTTAGTTGGTATTATTTCTTCAAAATAATTACGATTGATCTTTTTCCTACCTTGATTTTGCAGGGTTGAAAACCTACCTTTGGATGAACTCAGTGACATCTACCTTCTTGATTTCATTGGAGCTTCCGGTTTTGTTGCAGAAGTATCTTCCAAAGTTGACAGGTTTGCTGATTGATCCATAGACATTTGTCCCTGTAATCAAAAGTTTTGTTCTTCATGAAATTCTGCTTCAAAGTAACTTATTAAATCAATCACATTGCACTTGTTGAACAGCTTTCTAATCATTGGCTCCAACACAAATATAGTGCTATTAAAAGCACATTTTACTGGTGAAGTGAAGCGATGCGTTGGCTTTGCACATCCTTTCATCTGAAACGGAAGCTCACGGAAAAGCACACACATCTTGCTCCCTAGCCATTTCACATTGTAGCACCGTGCACTCAGCTCCATATTATAATGGAATTTTAGTTCGCATTTTGTGATTTGGTTTTGCACTTTCATAAGAATTAGGCACAAGTGTTTGCTTCATTGAGTTGTTGCTCATTAATTCTTCATTCTCGACCACTTAGCATTTTTTTTGGTGGTTTTTATTACCCATCTTTCTCGCCGACTAGTTTTTTTATATGCTTCACAATGGTTCTTGATTGTGTTATTTATAACTTCTAACTCACAAGCGTCTTCCCAAGAATTCTTTTTGATGTTGTATATTTGTATTCTCTTTTGCTTCAAATTGCTTTCATCTTTTGGTTTATAGTAAGTTGCTTAATCTTATGACTATTCTTCATTTATAAGTATTCTTTTATCACTTTATTACTTATGTGTTTGATTTTTTTTTTTAAAGTTTTTGGGTGGTTAAAAATTAACATTATTTTACTTAGGATAATATTTGTTGAAATTTATTACTTGATGTGATTTAAATTTCTTTGATTTAATGATCTATTATACAATATACAAGTCATGAATACTCTAGTTCAAAAAAGCGCCACTTCATTTTGAGATTTCTGCATTAAAGTGTTAAAAAAAAACAACTTTTAAGTAATTTTTTTTTTAAAAATCTTACGCATCACATTGCGCTTAATGCTTTGAAAGCGTCATGTGAATAACCACTTGAAGTTTCCTACTAATGGGGTACCTCATGCACCATAGAAACCAAAGAGTTGTTGTGATTAATCTATCCTAACCAAAGTAGTTTATATACTTCCTATTGCTAGGAAATTTGGCGTTTAGACCAAATCTGGTCTTCTAATTGCATTGCAAGGTACCTTTTAGATCTAAAATCTGAAACCCGGCTTGTCAATCACTTCTTAATCTACACAAACATAATTGTTTGAGATATTAATGTAATTCTAAGCTTCTAAGCAAAATAGTGACAATATTTTTACTTGTGCATTCTAGATTTGTAACTTTTTTGCTTTGACTATGTTAGAAGGTGATTTTCTTAGCATGCTAAGAAAAAAATCCCTGTTCAAATGCAAACATTTAACTATCATTGTTTTAGGCTTTTGTTCTTCACTAAAGTATTTTTAATTTATTAAGTTTTTTTGGTATCTTTTTTGGTGATTAATTACTTCAACTTGTTTTCTTGTAACCAAATAGTCAAACTTTACTTTATCTCCTCTTTTTCATTTTTTCAGTGTCACAATTTTGGATCACCATAAGACAGCTTTGGAGACTATTTCCAGAAATGATTCCGTTTTAAGAAATGTTTCTAAGCTTATAGATATGGAGAGAAGTGGGGCTACAATTGCGTTTGACTACTTTAATGAGAAACTTCTAAGAAGAGGCATTTCATTTGGGAATCATGGAGGAGGATGTGATGTTATATTCTTGCCAGAAAACAAAAGTGAAACTGTTCAAAGGCTTTTCAAGTTTATTGAAGATGGAGATCTTTGGAGATGGGAGCTTCCCCATAGTAAAGCTTTCAGCAGTGGTCTTGCAGATATGAAAATCGAGTACAATGCCATTGTTAATTTATCTTTATTTGATCAGGTAGGAAGAAATTTATTGAGATGCAATTTACATAAAATGTGACAGCTTTTGGTTTCTATTTTTGCGATTTGTGGTGACACTCAACAATTTTTAGTTAATGGATTTGGATCCCGAACTTGTCATCAGTCATGGACGAGAAACTCTTGCACGAAAACAAAAGTTAATAGATTTAGCTCTCGATCAGTCTTACAAAATTGCATTGGGGTGTGGAATATTTGGTCATTGCCTGGTATGTATATCTTGTTTATATTTCTATCATATTTTTGATATGGCTTGTTGATAATGTTAATTTTAATTATTTTGTTGCACAAAACAAAAATGAGTGGGGAGAGAGGATTCAAAATGCTATCTCCAATTAGTTGATACATGATTATGATGTTATATATATATATATATATATATATATGTATATA